ATTTGGGGTAAAAATGGGAGTTCATAACCCACTTGAATCTAATGTATGAAATATGATATGTCAAGAGCTTTGTAATGTTTTGAACATCCAATAAAAAAAAAGAGAATGCTAAGCAAGCATTACACCATTAAGCTATACCCCACAAACTCCAAAGCAAACAATTTTAACAGACAAAATTCTTACCTTCATTTGCTGAGTTCATTTATAGATAAGAAAGTTGACCATCTGTAAATAAAAAWTTTTTAAAAAATAGAATTTTGAATGTTTTTACCATAAAGAAATATTTAAGAAGATAAGTAGCTTTGCCCTGGCTTGAACTTTATACAGTGTATACATGTATCAAAACATAACATTATTTCATAAATATGTACTATTTATGTATAAATTTTAAAAATAAATAGAAAAATGTAAAATAGAGAAGTAGAAAGAAAAATCACTGTCTTACCACCCAAAGACCATTATATTTTGCTGTTTTTTCCTACTTTTTCTTTAACATAGCTATGATCATATTGCAGACATAATTTTGTTTTCTCATTTTTTACTTAATATTAAAAAGAATCTTCCTAGCTTATTAAACTTCTCATAAATCTCATCTAAATGGCTACATGGTTTCCTACGTGTCAGTGCAATTTCATATTTATTTACTGAATAATTTTTGTCCACTTTGAAGTTGTTGTCAGTCTTGACTATTACAAGTAATGCTATGATGGATGTTTTTCCTTTGATACCTTTTATTCCCCTCACAGCACATTCACTTTCTCTATCATCCCTGTGAGCTTTCTGAGACCAGCAACCAAAGCAAGGCCCTAAGAATACAGATAAGAAAATTTCCTTTTATCAGTGTCCTAATCAACATACCATATGTCAAAGATCATTAAGCAAACTTGAAATTGAATTAGCAAAATAATCCTTGAAATTTTGATTGAAGAAAAATAAAGTGCTTGAAGAATATAAAGGGAAAAAAGGAACTATGATCTTTCATTAAATTTAATATATCGTTTCAGGCTGATTGTGAATCTATGGTAGTCTCTTTAACAAAGAGTAGATACAAAATTGCTTCCCATCTTGATCTGAAAGATAAGCTGACATTATTTTTTTAATTTAAGAAAGCACATCCTTTGATGTTCTAGAAGTAGTAATATCTTAATGTCAAACAGTCCTTACCTCTGTAGACTCTGTGTCTCTAGTCACGTTTTCACCATGCATGGTCTGCTCTAAAGTTGTTGGGAATACCTTGTTTTGTGAAACTGAAGTGCTTCTGAAAAGTATAATACAKATATAAACTTTGTCAATTCCAAACATTTGAAAAATATGCCTGGTAACTTTTTATATAAAGAAATTTAATTGAAAGGATGAAGGGAGTAAGAGAAAGAGAAGAGCTGACCATAGAGGTCACATGACTATTGCATGACTAATCTTAGGTTCTCAGTGGGAATAGCAGAATTAGAATTTAGACTGGCCTGCTTGTTCTTGGCACAATATTCTTACCTATACCTCAGGGAATTTCTTTAGAATGACATTATTAAATAAGCCTTGATTTAGATATCTGGGCCATTAATATTTGGAAGTAGGTAGGGAATAATGACTTTAAAAAATTAACACTAGGACCAGTTTGGTGTGACTATTTGCTGTCTTCAATTAACTGACTTTATATTTTATTACCATGTTTCTAGAACAATACATTGAAAAGATGTTAGAGATAAAAGAGATTATGGATAACGTACTTGCCAAACAGAAAGCAGAAAGGGATGATCTGGCTAAAAAATACAGGTGAGTGAAAAAAATATGTGCTGTATAGTTTCTAGAATGTATCTGTTTTTAGCTATAGAAGTACTGTAGTTTGGATCTGCAATGTCCTCTAGAGGTGCTTCGTAAAGGCTTCGTTCCCAGATGGGCACTAACTGGGGGTGGGTCTAGGGGGATGCCTTCCCATCATTGGTGTAAGCCCTCAAGGGGAATAGCAGGGCCCCTTCTGCTTCCTCTCTCTGTGTTCTGGCCATGAAATAAACAACTTTGCTGTGTCACTCACTCCACCATGATGTGCTGCATGCTGCCTCACCATAGTCCCAGAGCATCTTGAGGCCAACCAACCATGGACTGAAACCTCTATAACCATGAGCCAAAATAAACCTTTTCTTTTTAACAAATTTGTTATCTCAGGTGTTTGTTAAAGTAATGGAAAACTGACTAACACAAATAGGCCTAGAATTTCTAAAGAATACAAACATTGCTTAGAACCAGTAAATGACTTCATGATATTGTCTAATGTCTTATCTCTGTAGAGAATAATACTTTCTAGAAATATATGTATTTTTAACTTCTTACCTGAAATGTTCAGAAAAGAACATTTTAGTATCTTAAAAAGTTGTCTACAGTGAAGAATCTTTTAAAAGCCTTTCTGATCATGAATTCTACAGATTCTTAGCACATCTAAATTTTCTACATGAATTTTTTTCTTTTACAGTAAATATTGTTTCTTTTAGTGCAGTTGATTAATCAGTTGATTAATCTTAGGATTGTGTGTACGTGTGTATGTGTATGTGTCTGTACTTCTAATCTTTCAGGGTTCTTAAGGAGTTTTATCCTGAAAATGTTGATTATATACCTCTTATTCTTTTTTGAGAAAATTAAAATATTCTGTATCTTTTTATTATTTGGATATTTTTATTAGTTTTTAATGAGACTTAGCTACTTAATTCCATTTGACATCTATTACATATTCAGGTTTCTCTGGACTTATTTAAAAATCAGTTTGAAATTTTTTAATTCTAAATCTACTATCTTCTGTCTTTATTTTGCCTTTTTCTCCAATAAGTTCCTTCTTGCTTCCTGACATGTTTCCCTGGCAGTAGCAAGCAAGTGAGCTTTCATTGATGGGTAAATGACTGTGGGATATGTTCTAGGGAACTTTAGAATCTAGCTTTAATTCTCTTTAATTATCCTATGGTGAACAGTGTGAACACTTAGAATTTTGTGAACATTCTAGTGAACATCTAGAATTTTGGAAACTTCCTGATAACTAGAGTTTCAGGTGTGTAAATCCTTATTAAGATTGCTATAAAATTTCAAATCTTGGTCTGGGTAATCAAAGAGATTTTGCTGTCTGAATTCCTTATTTCACATGATGTGGTATTAGTATTTTTATTTCTCCTTTATCTAACTTTTTGCATTTTTTTGCTACTGTTATTTGCTAAACTTATTTCTTCTTGCTGCTTTTTCCACTTAACATATGACAACTTTTAAATGTTTGCTGGATATTCAGTATCAACAACTCTATACTTTGATAAGAAAGGCAAGATATCTTATAATTGCTTTTCATTAAAACAGCATTTCTAAAGCGTGGTGTAAAGACTCCTGGTAGGTACCTGAAATCATTTCAGAGAGTATGTGAAGAAAAAACTATTTTTTATAATAATACTAAGATATTAATTGTTTTCTTTTGTGAGTGTACAGTGGAACTTTCCAGAGGTAACCTGATGGTAATGGAGTGTGGGGGTATATATTCTTGTGTTTTAAATTTTTATCAGTTTTAATTTCTAAAACAGTAAATATCCATAGGTATAAAAGCTCTTTGGGTTCCGCCAAAATTTTTTAAAGTACAAATAGATCCTGAAGTCAAAATGTTTTAGAACCACTGGAAATGAAGAGCGTAATTTCCTGAAGCTCAGTGGGGATAGGTAGGCTTAGCCAAAATACCAAGAGCTATAATGAGCCATTTCCTCTTCTTTAGTCTCAAGATTCTGAGAGATTTGGTTTGGGCAAGGTGCACAGGATGATGGTCATCTATGTAGTCACTCTGGACTTGAAAGTGTCTCAAGATAGATTCAAAGTACAATTACAGTCATTACTTGATAAATTAATATTTCTCAGGTGTAGTTGAGGTGTGATTATTCACAAAACAATCTTGTTTCTCTATAGCTAAAGGAACCTGAGTGGAACTTACTATCACATTTTACTTCCTAATACACCTTTCTACTCAAAACAGTAAGCAAACCCCAAACTTAAAAAATGGTGGTTCTCTTTAGCCACCAATTACTACTTTCCAATCAAAAACAAGTAGATATCTAGATAGACAATATAAGTGTTATTATCTTTTAGAGTTGATTCATGGCTGATAAATAATAATATGGATATAAATCTAACAACTTCATTATCACATCCTTTAAAACTCACTGTTTTAGTCATTTTTTTGTTTGTTTTTGTTTTTTGCTGTGACCAAAAGCCCTGAAAAAGACAATTAGAGGAGGAAAAGTTTATTTTGGCTCATGGTTTCAGAGGTATCAGTACACAGATGGCCAACTCCATAGCTCTGGGTCTGAGGTAAGGCAGAACATCATGGTGGAAGTGTATGGCAGAGGAAAGTAGCTCAGAACATGGCAATAGAAAGCAAAGAGCAGAGACTCTGCTTAACCAGGGACAAAATATATACTCCAAAGACATGCTCCCCGTGATCTACTCCCTACCTTCCTACAGTTACTTCCCAGTTAATCCACATCAGCATTTTAGTGCACCTAATAATCCAATCATTTTACCTCTGAAAATTTTTCCATTGTCTTACACACAGCTTTTGGGGGACACCTCATGTCAAAACCATAACACCTGAAATGAAGGAATTTCCTCTCAATGGCAATACATTGTAAAGGTAGACTTTCGAGTACTTCAAGCTGATTAAAATCAAGACAGAAAATCTTTAACATCTAAAATGAATGATAAAACAAAGTTTTCTACTCTGTGTGTTTGTTTGTTTCCTGTTTCTGTTTCTTCCTATAGGGTATCCATAGAGTCATTTAAGCATGGAGCCCTGAGAGAACAGCTGGCCAACTTGGCCACAAGACAGAAGAGCCTTTTAGTTGTGGCAAAGAAACAGAAAAAAATAAGTCTGAAAATTCAAAATTATAAAAATGTCACATCATTGTCTGATCCTAGTTTAAGGAAGTTGCCATCCAGCTCACATATCTTCAGTGAAAAGGACAACAAAGAGCTTACCAGTCTGGAAAATTCGGTGCAGCCTCATTCAGGTTCACTTTCTCATATCAATATTGCTTGTAGAAGCATTCAAGAAACACCATTGTCTCTGGAAACATGCCATGACAGCCATAATACTAATCTTTGTCTAGATTCAGAGGCAGTAAGAAGGGAAGAATTTTCTGGAGTTGAGATGAATTCTAAACAAAATGTTAATGATTGTACCTTGGATGGGTTATTCAAATCTCGATACCCAGATAGCAGTGATAATAAATTGTCATCCCAACCTGATGCTTTCATTGCTCATGCAGAATATTCACAAAAAGATAATGATCATACAGAAACTACAGCCAAAGACTGTGAATTCTATAGTCCTTTTGCCATAACTGGCACATTAAATGGTTCCAAACATACAAGTTTACTTTCCCAAAAGGATGCCCATCCATCAGCTGTTATTTGGGACCAGGACCTTTCCCAGTATGATCCAAAAAGAGGAAACAGAAAAACAGCTTCCCAGCAACCACCTGGGGGGACATCAGAATCCTGGGCACACCAAGCCGTTGCTGTCTTGGGCACTGATACTGTGCATCAGACAAAACAATATCTTGAAAAAACAGCTTCTGCTGTTCCACATATAAATAACAGTCAGGTCTCTTCTTCCTCTGGATCTGGCCATCAACATACTATTAAAAAGCCTTTAAACTACAGCACAACTCCTAAAAAGAAATGTATGCAGATAAAAGATTTGATATTATTAGGAAGAATGAATCCAGGAAATAACATTCTGGAATTTAAAACACAGGTATTCTAAATTTTTTTCTCTAAAATCACATAAATTTTATAATAAGTAAATGTTGCTGTCACATAGGTATTTAGGGAACTGGAGTTTGACTGGGCTTCCTGAATGGAGAGATACAATCTTTGTATTCTTAGTGAAATCATGCTGCTGGAATTGCCTTAATATATTTCAATCACAAGCACCTTTGGATCTTCAAACCAGAACTAGTTTATTATATTGCAACAGGAAGGATTTAAGAATTAACATAAAAATAATAAATTGAAACTGTCATTAGTTCCATATAATTTCAGTAACTACCACTATACTGCTAAAGCATGCCCTAAAGGGATATGTATAAATTCATCTTCCAAAGAAGCTCAGTTTAGAACCCAGAAGTGGCTTGGAGTGTGGGTAAATCTGACTAAATTAAAACAATATTATATATACATAAAAAAGGAGGAGAAAAAAGTTTTGTTGGATATGCCTCTCCTCTTTCTCTACGTGCACTTTTTAAAAGAAGAATTTAGATTAACAAAGATCACAGAGTCCTTGGATGCTTCTTTGCTTATGGGCCAATCTGACATTTCAGTCCAGACTAATTAACATTTAATCTGAATGACCTTTGTTTCCAGCGCTGCTCATTTCTGGATAATAAAGCTTTCCATAGTTAATAAGTTTTATTTGTAAATTTAAGTAAAAATATTTAAATTTTAAATCTCAAATTGTAGTTTATGACTGAATTAGTGGCTTGATCTCAGATCCCTCAATAATCCAATTTCTTTGCCTGGCAACCAATTTGTTGTTAAGTGGTGTCTACCTTAATTAGCCAATGCAGCTCAAAATTTAGCAGATTAGTTATTCTATATTAGTTTTTTATTTACTCATATTTTGACAGTTGTGATACCTTCTTAAATCAGTGATAATAAAATTTTGGTAGAGATTTTCATATTTCAGCTATTTTTCTTTCTTTAACAGCTTTATTGACATATAGTTGGTATACAATATATTTACACATAATTGAAATATACAATTTGGTAACCATTTGTATGTACCTGTGAAACAATGATCACAAGATAATGAAATATCCATTAATCTCAAAAGTTTCTTCTTGCCTTCTTGTACCCTACCTTTGATCCCCTTCCCTTCCTTTGCTGATCCCCTGATAATTACTGGTCTCTTTTCTTCTCTTACACATTCATTTACAATTCCAAGAATTGTGGGTAAGTGCAAATATACTTTATGTATTGATTTTTGTCTGACTTCTTCTTCTGAATGTAATCATTTAAATTTATCCTTGTTATAGCATGAATAAGTCGTTCCATAGTAGCCCATTATATGTGTATATCAGTTTGTTTATCAGTATGCCTATGATAGACAGTTAGGTTGTTTCTATTTGTTGGCTATAAAGCTATTATGAATCTTGGTGTACCAGTTTTGGTATGACACAGACTTTAATTTTCTTGGGTAAATACCTAGGAATGGAGTTACTGGGTCATATGGTAATTATACATTGAGCTTAAAAAATTGTCAGAGTTGTTTGTAAAATTTTACATCTCCATTGGTTGTGAATGAGAGTTCTAGTTCCTCAATGTAGTATAATCAGACTTAATTTTAGGTTTGCTATTGGAGTATAGATGTGTGTATTGTGATATAACCTGCACATCTGTTTAGTGGTTTATCACTATGGTTTTAATTTGCATGCCTATAATTATGATTGATATTGAATATCTTTTCACATGGTATTTGCCATCCATATTTATTATTTAATGAAGTGTCCAAATCTGTTGCCCTTTTTTTATTGGTTGCTTATTTTCCTATCATGTTTTGTGACACACACACACACACACACACACAAAGTACATATAGATATAATCTTTATCGAACATGTACCATCCCAACTATTTTTACTATATTGTGGCTTGTATTTTCATTCTCTTAACATTATTTTTTAAAAATAGAAGCCTTTAAATATTTTTGTATTTTTAGGTGGACAGCATGCCTTTATTTTATTTGTTTATTTTTATTTGGTGCTGAGGATCAAATACAATACCTCATACATACAAGGCAAGTGCTCTGCCACTGAGCTATAGCCCCAGCCCAGAAGCCTTTAATTTTGGTGCAGGCTAAATTTTTAATTTATTCTTTCATAGATTATGTTTTTCATGTCCTATTTAGGAATTATTTGTCTTCCCTAGTGACAAAGTTCTATTTTCTTCTAGAGTTTTTAGTTTTATATTTAGGATTATAATCTATTTTTAATGAATTTTTGTATGTAGTACAATGTCAGATCCTCATTCATATTTTTGAATTTGTATATCCAGTTGTTCTACCAGTTGTTGAAAAGATACCCTTTCTATTGAATTGCCCTATATATCTTTGTCAAAAATCAGTTGTTCATATGTATGTCTATTTTTGGTCTCCCTGTTTCTGTTTCATTGATTTATTTGACTATCTTTCCATCACTACTAAACTATATTGATTATTGTAGCCATAAATAAATCTTGAAATCTGGTAGTGTTAGTATTCCAGTTTTGTTCTTTTTTAAAAGTGTTTGGATATTCTAGGTCCATTGTAATGATATATGAATTTTAGATTTCTACCTCCAAAAAGGCTGCTGTTATTTTTATTGGTTTTTCATAAAATGTATAGGTTAATTAGGGAGGAAATGGAATCACAATAATATTGAATTGTTCAGACCATGAATATGGTATGTATTTCCATCTATTTGGATCAATTTTTCTTATTCATCGGTTATTTATAAATTACGTTCTTTTTTTCATATAATAGTGAGTTTCCCAGGGTTCTTTTTTTTCTGTTATCATTTCTAATTTCATTCCATTGTGGTTGAAGAACATATATTACTTCAATTATTTTAAACTTGTTCAGGTTTATTTTATGGCTTAGCTAGCAAATGTCCTGGAGAATGATCCATGTGTGCGTAAGAATATATATTCTGCTGTTATATTTTCTATAGATGCCTGTTAAGTCTAATCGGTTTATAGTATTCAATCCTTGTCTTTCCGTATTGATTTTTTTGCCTGTTTGCTATGTATAACTCCATATTGAAAGTAGGATATTGAAGTCTACAACTATTCTTGTTGAATTATCTATTTTTCCCTTCATTTCTGTTAATTTTTGCTTCCTGTGTTTGTGTACTCTTTTGTGTTTTAAGTACATATGTATTATATATAATTGTTATATGTGCTTGATGCATCACCCTCTTAACATTATAAAATGTCCCTTTTTATCTCTAGTAAAAATTTTTGTTTTAAGGTCTATTTTCATCTGATTTTAGTATAGCCATTTCAGTTTTCTTGTGGTAGCTGTTTGAATGATACATTTTTTTCTTTTTACTTTCAGTTTACTTGTCTCTTTGAATTTCATATCTGTCTCCTATATGMATTATATAGTTAGATCTTGATGTTTTAATCCATCTGAAAATATCCACTTTCTTAAAAGTTTGTTTAATCCACATACATTTAATGTTATTAATACTGTTGGATTTAGGGCCTGTTAAATATTTTATCAGATCCCATACAGTAAAATTTGCCTCTTGAATGCTGGATATGTATGTAGTCTTATAAATATTTTGGAAACTTGTTCTTGAAAATGGTTTGATTCTTTTGAGTCTTGTTTTCAAGATTTGTTAGGCAGGATCAGAACAGTGTCAAGTCCAGTGCTAGTTATTTTCCACTACAGAGGCAAGATTCTTTTATGTATTCCACTGATGGCCCATCAGTCTGAAGGTCTTTCTACTCTTGCTTTAGGGACTCTATTCCCTGTCTTGTGAGAGTGCCAGGTGTCAGTACCTCTAATTCTTTCAAGTGGTTCTTTTTCCATCCTTGGTCAATTTCCTCACACATATCCATCTATCCCTTCTCAGCTGAAATTTAAAGAGGACCCTCTAAAGATCTACAGAGTTTTCTTTCTTTTTATTTTTCTCTTCGATACCTTGTCCTACAGACTCTAACCTCCTTTGTCCCTAGACTCTGCTCTGTTTCCTCAACTCAGGGTGTCCAAAGGCTTTACCTGGTTTCCCTTTCCCTGTACATGACTTGGAAACTCTCTCATGGTGGAAAGCTGGGATAATTATAGGGTTCACCATAGTAAATTATCATCTCTCAGAGAAAATTGCCTGATTCTTGGCCTCTTATAAACAATTGGATCATATATTTTGTATTCTTTTGTTGTTGTTTTGTGTCAAATGATAGGTAAATCTGATCCCTATTATTTCATCATGACCAAAATCCAAAGTTCATAGATTTCAGCAATTTTTATCTTAATTTTATTTATTTATTTATTTATTTATTTATTTATTTATTTCTTCAGGAGACTATCCACAAAGCCAGTGTTTTATTAAGTGGTAAAATTAAGGTAGAAAATGGTCAGATTTATCAAAATCCAGTCACTTGGCTCAAGGATCTTCTGGGAGGTGACAGTTACGTGACCTGGAATTACGCCTGGAGTAAGGTGGGTCATTCTCAAGTTTATCTTTAATTTCATAGTTAAATTAAAATACATATTTTTATAAAGAAACATTTTTAAAATAAGTCTGAAAGATCTCTCAGATAGTTTTTGCCCTCATTTGTCTCTTCTGTGACTTGCTACATGCTTTAATCTACACTGTATTTGCCAAAATTCCCATGGCTGTGCAGCTCCCTTACTTGCTCCTTATCTAGTTTCAGAAACTTAATTGGCTTTAATCTTCCATTTTTATCCTTCTAATAAATTTCAGGGCTTTATGACTCCATATAGAAATTTGGGATTACTAGTGTACTAATATTTTAGTTTATGCATGTTATTATTATTCTAATGGAATAAATCAAAATGTAATCTAAATTTGAAAGTACATTTTACTTTTAGTTTTGAACATAGCATTAATCACATGTTGCTAAAAGATTTGAATATTTTCCTCAAAAAGAAATATTTTCAGACCTCACAGACTTGGTAGCCTCTCTCAGTTCTGGCTTCTGAGTTAAGAGCCCACTGATGACTGACACCATATGGTCCAGTGTTCATCCACCCGTAGGTGTCTGTGGTACCACATCAGGTCTTACAATGACTCACTCAAGAAAGTATGAATCATCAGATCCACCATTATGGTTTATACCTTTAAACTTCCCTTCCCTTTGCAGTAAGCCTCAGTACACCAATAATAGAAGGCATAGCTTCCTCTCTTTTGTTGTCCAGCTCAGTTGTATCTGCCTTCCCTCCTTGCTCCTGCTCTGCCCCGAACTCTGTGCCCCTACTCTGCATTCTCTCCTTGTAGGCCTTTGTAGCAGGTACTTCTGGTACTGTTTCAGTCCCTTCACTTAATCAGCACATTCTGGATTTTGTGTGCTATATAATCTCTCTGACTTTTTACCCTCGAAAGTTTTTTCTTTCCCCACCCCTACAATCACCAGATTGTCTGTTTTTTACACCTTTGCTCAGTTCTTTTCATGGATTGATAATTTATACCAAATGATAGTAATTAACATCTTACACCAGTAATCCCTTTTATTATAATATTTTTAAAAGTCTTTTGATAGATTTTTATTGTTTTGTTAAACCATTCTCATGGCATTGATATGGTACTCATTGCTGTGGTTTTGGTTCTTTTGGCATGCTGAGAAGACTCTATTCTCTCACACTTTTTCTCCATTATAACCACTACATTTCCTGCCTTTGAGAGCTGTCTGTGACATCATTTGGCCCTCACATGTTACTAATGCCACATTTGCATATCCCATTGCTTCTAGTGTTTTCTTAGCAATCAAGCCAATTAGAGTTCTAATGTTTAGCATCTATGTGATAGTGAAGTCAGCTGCAAATATGAATACTACAGATTATCTAAGCAGGTTTAGATTACTTTTCTTTTTTAGGTTATCCCCAAAAATGAAAGCAGAGTTTTTAAATTTTCTATGGGACACACACGTACTTTTTAGTAAATACCCCAAATTGAAATATGATCCCAGTGAGTTCCTCATAATATTTAAAAGTCTCTTTAAAATCTTCTTTTAAAGTTTACCACATGTATTTGGGGTAAAAATGGGAGTTCATAACCCAATTGAGTCAAATGTATGAAAGATGATATATCATGAGCTTTGTAATGTTTTGAACAACCAATAAAAAAATWAATTAATTAAAGTTTACCACAGAAAACTCTGTCTCCTCTTGACTGAGAGGAGCTCCTGAATTCACAGATACTTCTTGATGATGAAAACTTTTCACTGCACTGGTAAATGTGAACATTCTACTGACTAGTTCTGAGAATGTTGGTGGGGGTGTAGGGCCAGGAATGATTGGCTGTCAGGCATGAAATGCTAGAAAAGTATGACTTTCTCTGCATCAGATAGTGACAATGTCACTAGATACAGAAATGATTCATCCCTCCTACCCAAGCAGCTGGGCTGCTGTACATTTTTGCTAAGGAAAGTTTGGTGCTTAGGAAAATTCTTTACTGAGGAAATTCAACTCACTTCACTGATTTATCTTGCAGCTTCTGCCTCCTAGCTGTTAGACACCATTCTAATGGCCAGAGTAATCTCTGGGTAGGAGATAGGATGCCAAACTAGTTTCTGATTCTACTTTTTATAAGTTATTTGATCTGGGCAACAGTTTTTAATCATGGTAATTTCTAGAATTACTTAAAGAGGGTGGAGTGGCTTTTTAAAACTAACAATGTCTAGTGGACCTCAGTTCAAAGCTTCTGATCTAATAGTCTGATTTGGGAACTAAGTGGCAATATTCTTAAAAGCTTTCCAAGTGACTCTTTTTTTTAATGGACATAATATCTTTTTTTATTTTTTTTATGTGGTGCTGAGTATTGAACCCAGTGCCCACACATGCTAGACAAGTGCTCTACCACTGAGCCACAACCCCAACCCCTTTCCAAATGATTCTAATGTTCATCCTGGAGTAAGAATCACTGAGCTAGGACAAATCATTTAACTTGGTCTTCTAGTCCTATACATAATTTTTCTGCATTTATTAACAATGGCACAAGGAGGCCCACATTCCTTTCATTGCAAGCAAGTTGCCCTCAACTCAAAAGAACACATGGAATCATCTAATCACGTTTATCAATATGTAGCCTCAATCATAGGCAGCAGAAATGGCTCACCTCCACAGGAAAATGCTTTTCCAGTCTATGATCATTCCACCTTGAATGTGCTGGATCTTCTCTAATCTCAGAAACTAAGATAACTTGGCCCTGGTTTTTATTTGAATGGAAGGGAAATTGCCTTTTGGTGATATGATTGCCATACAAAATTTATAAGAATCATTAGAATGGCAATGGTAGTTCATTTTTGGGACCCCCAGGAGTGAATTGATGAAGTTGAAAAGTAGGCTATCATTTTAGGTTGTGACTCAAGGAACACTAGACAGATACAACATACTTTCTAGCCAGATGCCTTGCTAAATTTTCACCCTGATAAACTCACTCCTTTGGAGTTAGTGTTGACTTTCCTCTTTCCCTCCACCCTCACATATTTTTATAAAAGAAATTCCATAATTAGGAATATCAAGATATAGACAGGTTAGGGACAGAGTATAGAAAGTGATGAAAATTGTTCATCTGGACAGATAACCTAATTCAGTCAGTTACTCTCAAAGTGTCTTAAACTTTATGCAAACTTAGCTTCTATACAGCTGTACTATAGAAGAGAAAAGAGATGGCTAGAGAAATGGATCTTTTAAAAAATACAAATATCCAGGTGTTGCAAATTCTGAAAAATAAATACTAGAAAGGACCTTTTCTTGCCTCCTGCTGAATAGAGTGCTGGGGAATGAAGAAAGGAGTCTGGAATTGGAATTGGGAGATATGTACTATGAAAAAGAACTTTACCTGAAAAATCATTTACCTAGAAGCAATTCTTACACTTTAAAATGACTTTCTGTCTTGTATTCTGAACTCTTAAAGAAATAGTTTATTTAAAACACATATTCTTAACCACAATGTTTTTTGTATTATAATGAGCCCAAAAAAATAGGTTTTTTTTTTGTTTCTTTGCTTTTTTCCCCTACTCTGAGATCTAAAAACAAAACAAAACAACTATCCTTTTCTCTTTCTTCTCTTGAGGAATTGAAAATTGTAAGACTTGCTGCTTAAAACTTACAGATTCCTATTAATCCATATTATAAATTGTTTTTCTGAAAACGTGAAAAACAGACTGATACTTTCAAAAATAAAATGGACTCCCATCAGGGAAATAAATTTTTGGACACCTCTTTAATATTCAAAGGTGTCATGGTTTAGATATTATGTATCCCCCTAAAGCTTATGTGTGAGACAATGCAAGAAGTTTTAGAGGAGAGAGGATTGGGTTATGAGAGCCTTAACCCAGTCAGTGAATTAATTGCCTGATAGGATTAACCGATAGATGAAGGCGGATAGAGTGTGGCTGGAAAAAGTGGGTCATTGGGGGCGTGCCTTTGGGCCTGCATTTTGTATTTGACAAGAGGAGCCTTTCTTTCTGCTTTCTGATCATCAAGTAAGCCACTTCCCTCCACTAAACTCTTCCTCCGTGAAGTTCAGCCTTATTTGAGCCCTTACCTATGAACTGAGACGTATGAAACTGAGCGCTTAGATAAACTTCCTCCTCTAAAGTTGTTCTTGTCAGGTCTTTTAATCACAGCAGTGAAAAGCTGACCAAAACAAAAGGCAGTCAGGAGGTTGAGACAGGARGATCACCAAGTTCAAGGTCAGTCTCAGAAACTTAGTGAGGCCCTAAGCAACCCTGTCTCCAAAAAAAAGAAAAAAAAATCAAAATCAGGTAATGTTTTATATTTTTTTCTTGATTCATATGAATAGTACACAGAAACATTTGTTATAGCAATTAATAATGACAGTTAATATTGCCAAAATAAAGTTAATTGATATTCTCACTTGCTTATTAACCACATTTCCATGTGTGATCATCTACCTCACACATAAGTACTTGYGCGCACGCACACACACACACACACACACACACACAAACACACACGTGTTGCATACATCCTACTTCTTCCCCAGCATCCTTCTTTCTTAAGTCTGCTCTGAGGGAATCAGCATAGGCTAATATCTGAGGAATAATGGACCATTGGCTATAAGGCTTCAGGGAAAACACCAGTGGCCTTAGGACAAAGCATCCCTGCAACTTTACCTTTTAGAAAAGCAATAACATAACAACCTACAGATATCCTCATAGAACACAGCTTATACTGTCTCTTACTTTTTCTCGTCTGGGGGAACATGACAAAGTTTCTGAGAGCACTAGAGGCCATGAAGTCCAAAAACCTCAGAAACTAGCCTCCAGCTCTTCTTACCATGCCTCTGTCAGAGTGGGCATGTGAGCTACATTTGGATCCTTAGTAAAATTTTCAGGATTCAAAGTTTGAGCTGTATGAAATGTGATAACTGTTTGCACTTTTGCTTTAGCCAACTGGAGCACAGACACTAATATAAAATATAATTTCTAGAAGTGACTGCCTGTTTCTTTTGAGTCTTTTCATTAATTTATTCAACAAATCACTCTACTTTGTGAAAGATACACTTCAACTTGGTGGATTTTCTTAAAGTTGTGTTGTTTATATCTGAATTACCTCCAGTGGTATGTGTAAGCCACTTTATGTTACCCAGTACTAAAACTGATTAAAAAAATATGCTTTTAAAGTATGAGATGAAGATGCTAACATACTGAACCTGCGCTTCCATTAGTTTATAAGGTATATTAGACATTGTCAGGGCATAACCCGTACAAAATTCATTGTTTATAATTATTGGGTTTTTTAGAGAACTGACAAATGACATTCAGGAGCTGCTTCTCTCCTTTTATTTCATGGCAAATGAGGAGGGATTGGCACACTGGGCAAGCCAAATATATCCCATTTGCTTTACTTGGCTTTGTTTGGTGAGGGGTTGAGCCCAAATCCTATATGTACTTTATAGACCACCTATGCCTTCCTGGCCCTGTTCAATTAACAAGATTTTAGGATGTGACAGATAGCATGCCAGATGCTTTTCATGCATTTTATCTCTTAATCCTCTAAGAACTTAATATGCTGAAGATACTTGTTTCACAAATGGATAACCTGAGGCTTGGAATTTAAGAATCTTACTTAAGAGTTGTGGCTTCAGTCTTTTAATCCATAATGTCAGGCATTATGTGAAGTGCTAAAGRTATACAAATGAATATGACACAGACCATGTCCTCTAGAAGTTTATGGTTTACTTGACACAAGAGACATTAAAACATAATTTCTTTTAAATGGAATAAATGCTGTGACAGAAATAAGAGCACAAAAGATATGAGAGCCTAGAGGAAGGTCATTAAGTTTAGAGGTTATAAGAAGACATCCTGGAGGAAGAGATGTTGAAATTGAGACTTGATACTCTGCCTTAAGAGAACCTGCCCTTTGGGGGTTTTAGGTAGCCCTAGACCTAAGAGTGGGGAGTGCAAAGACCAGTGGACCAGGAATATTTCTGGTAGGTATATACCTCAGCCCTGTCCATTATTTATAAATATTTTTAAGCTCTGGCCTATGGGAGTAATAAAAACATCTAAGTCCACAATTTTTTATAACTAGATATGTAGACCTGAAATATTAATAATCTAATCATCTAAATATTTTATTTCCTCAAAAGTACTATTACTTTTATGGCTTAATTTTTTAATGTCAATATTTTTTAAGGTCATAAAATAGCAGATGAAAGATTAACAGTTGTTGAATAAGTGAATGGATGAGAGAGGTAGTAATATACATCAGGGGTCAGTAAATTTTTTCTGTAAACAGGCCAGATAATAAATAATATTTTAGGTTTCATGGGCATGTCACAACTATTAAGTTCTTTTGTAGCACAAAAGTGGGCAGAGATGTTAAGTAAATGACTGGGTGTCACTGTGTTCTAATAAAATATTATGTTCTAATAAGATATTATTTTCAAAATTATTTACCAAAAAAAAGAGGCAGTGTGTACTTTGCCATGGGCTATAGTTGGATTTACAATAATCAGTACTTAACAAAAATTACAATTTTCAGGAGATTGATATATTTGCCTCTTACAGAATGTATGATTTTTTTTTTTTAAATTTGGCTTTGATTATGTGTAGGTAACGTATCTTGGGAAGGAGCTTTTAAAGTATGTTTCTGAGGAAGTACCTGTACCTCCAGAACCAAATGTAGTACCTCAACAACATCAGCCTTGTCTTCCAGGTATGTCTGGCCCAACATCTGTTTCTTGGTTGTGGGATAAAAACACCCAAACCTACTCTTTTTATTGTGTGTGTGTTTTGGTCTTTTATTTTTCATTGAGGTAAAATTCACTATTATTCATTACAATTAACCATTTTAAAGTGAAAAATACTGTGGCATTTAGTACACTCACAATGTTACACAACCACTACTTTGATTAGTTTCAAATATTTTCATCACCCCAAAAAGAAACTTACTCCCCATTCTCTACTCCCCCCAGTTCCTGGAAACCCCAGGGTCTACTTTCTGGAATGGATGAACTTGTTCCGAATATGGAATTAGATAAGACTTTTTGAGTCTGACTTCTACTTTATATAATATTTTTGAAGGTTATTTTAGCATGTATCTGTACTTCAGATAGTACTTCTATGACAGTAGAGTGTATTTTGACATATTATCCATACATGGAGTATAACTTATTATAATTATAATCCCATTCTTGTGGTTATACATGATGTAGAATTTCACTGGTGGTGTATTCATACCATTTATACCTTTTTCCCCAYATCCTTGCCAACATTTATTGTTACTTTTATTCTTGATAATTGCCATTCTGACTAGAGTGAGATGAAATCTCAGTGTACTTTTATTTTGCATTTCTCTAATTGTTAGAGATGTTGAACATTCTTTCATATATTTGTTGACCATTCGTATTTCTTTTTCTGTGAAGTGCCTGTGCAGTTCCTTTTTTCATTTATTGATTGGGTTATTTGGGTTTGGGTGTTAAGTTTTTTGAGTTCTTTATATATCCTGGAGATTAATGTTCTATCTAAAGTGCAAGTGGCAGAGATTTTTCTCCCATTCTTTAGGCTCTCTTTACATTCTTAATGGTTTCCTTTGCTGTGAAGAAGCTTTTTAGTTTGATTCCATCCGATTTATTGATTCTTGATTTTAGTGCTTGTACTTTAGGTCTTGTTGAGGAAGTCAGTTCCTAAGCCGACACAATAGAGTTGTCTACATTTTTTTTTTTTTTTTTAGTAAGTACAGAGTCTCTGGTCTAATGCCTAGGTCCTTGATCCACTTTGAATTGAGTTTCATGCAGGGTGAGAGATAGGGGTTCAATTTCATTTTGCTACATGTGGATTTCCAGTTTTTCCAAAACTGTTTGTTGAAGAGGCTATCTTTTCTCCAATGTTATGTTTATGGCATCTTTGGCTAGTAGGAGATAACTGTATATATGGGTTTGTCTCTGTGTCTTCTATTCTGTTCTATTGGTCTTCATGTCTGTTTTGGTGCCAATATCATGCTGTTTTTTTTCTATAGATCTGTAGTATAATTTAAGGTCTAGTATTGTGAGATCTCCTGGTTCACTTTCTTTTTTTTTTTTTAAATTTTAAAAAGTAAAAAATATTTTAATGTTAATATTTCAATTTAAGTTACAAATATAAATTCATGACTTTTTATTTTTTTTTATTGTTGATCGTTCAAAACATTACGTAGTTCTTAATACATCATATTTCACAGTTTGATTCAAGTGGGTTATGAACTCCCAATTTTACCCCGTATACAGATTGCTGTATCACATCAGTTACCCTTCCATTGATTGACAAATTGCCTTTCTA